CCACTCTCAGTGCCGGGGGTTTTCGGGATGAACGTAAAAAGGGGTTCATCTCCATTTTGCACCGAAACTTCAGACGGCGTCAAAAGGGACAGTGTTCATTGATTCGCAGCCTAGTGACTGACCCTTAGAGGAGCTGCACCAGCAGCAGCAGCAACGCCTATTTTGATTCAAGGCTTTTCCTTAGGGAAAAGGAAAGTGAGCATAATGACACTTGTTATTCATTTATTATTTTGGAAGCATAGTATAATGAGTTCATTGAAGACGTTGTCACTCATCTCGGGCGTACGAAGAAATTCTTGGAATCCTTCCTTCATGCGCGGCTTTTTTTCCCGTTAGTATCGATGGCAACCCTGAGTAATGCTTAACATACACAGACTGATCCTAATAGAGGAATAGTGTGTACCGTATTTATGATGATGTTATTTTCTGATATTTTATAATGATGCAATTATAATGATGTCAATAGTTGAAAGTGGAAAATGAAGCAGAGCATAAACGTGAACATAACTTGGTAACTTCAGAAGAAAAAAGAATAACTAAGGATGAGTGGGTTGATCTTTTTAATGCTGTCACGAGAAAACGATGGCTGGGAATGCTTTGAGTAGCAGGAGCAGAGTCACGAAGTTCCTGAATGCGTTACATCTCCGAAAAAGGGGAGAAAAAAAAGGTCGCGTGTCATTTCACCAGCGCAGGTCTCGCCCAACCCGAGGATCATTAGTTGACGAGAAATTATTACTATCACCGCGTGGGTCTCAGTGGGATGAAAACGGTTATCCCAGTCGGACACGACATGTTCAGATGCTGATGCCTCATTTGCGGTGTACATTTTATATAAGGAACGACTTAATTCAGTTGAAAAAATAGTCATCAAAGCATTTCAAACAAAAGGAGAAAAGTCTTTGGAAGCCTTAGATTTTTTTTTCGATTTCACAAGAAGTGTTTGTTTTTTCAATAATTTCTCAATTAAACCGAACGTTTTTGACTCATGCGTCACGTGGATTCAATTGAATATACTGTAATTATAAGGTCAAGTTAAAAATTATCCCAAGTATAACTTTTCTTGTAATATGAACGCCTCTTTGGGATATATTGAGGAATCAACTGCCATTTATCCAGGTGTGTTGATCAACGAAAAGGCTCTTTTTGCTACTGAAATGTATCTCGATTACTGAAATTCATAACAACCATTCAAAAATTGGTAACCATAGACCATACGTACCAAACAATATACAGTACTAATACATTATACAATAATGTACATGCATTTCCCCTTGTACTGCTTGTTACAGCTAGAGCACTGCAATTGGCCTTTAGTAGGCCAAAGTATTTTTTGGATCGCAACATTATTCCAAGGTATTTATGCAAATCTCAGCTACATATGCTCGAGCAAAAAAATTATAAAACCAGCAATTTTTTGCTTTCATCAATGCATATAATAAATTGATCGAATCTGATGAATATTCAAACCCTGGCGCAGCTCATTATTTTTCTTCTTAACCACCAATTTTCTGATGAAAAAATCGAATGCGGGCATTTTCTTATTAGATTTAGATGTCAAGGTTTATCATTTTTTTCATTGTTACGTCCTTGGAGAAGGCAGCACAATAAAACATCCTGGCTCTACATATCTGAGGCATTAACGTCCTTGCTGATTTGCAACTGCCTTTTCAAATGTCAACATGATCAGGGGGCCGTGAATTTTCTTCTACTCCTCGGAATGGAAAAGTATTAAGTCAGCACCAGCATAATTTCAAAAGACGTGATATTTTTAAAATCTTGCTAACAAAACAAAATGAACTTTAAGCACGGTTTTTTTTTTTTTTTTGCAACCTGGGTAAATTTATTTGGTAATTCTGGTCTGGTATTGCTGCAGGTGGATTGAAACTCCCGGTTTAGACTAGTCCAAATCTCGTTATGCTGGTAAAAAGGTCTTGGATTCCTTGCTAGTCCTCAGAATGAAATACCAGTAGAATACAGAGTCAGCATCAGCCAAATGCATAAAGCTAAGTAGATTTTCTTTCGATTTTTAATAACATATTCTCTACGCTGAGCAAATCCAATCACACCACTGACTTGTCATGACTTGATTGAGTAGCATGTATTCGTTAGTCAGCATTAGCACCTTTCTTTGATTTTTTAAAAATCAGGTATTGTTTGAGCTGAGCAAATCAATCATAAATCGGACCACTAATTTTCTGACTTGATTTAGTTGCATTGGTTGCATTCATTAGTTAATGCTGGACTTCTGGTAGGAATTTCACAAAAATATCCTGGAATTGTTGCTGGCACATGATCATCCCTGATGATGGTTCCACCTGTAACATCAAATAATTTCCAATATGCTGCTGTATCATCAAACTGGAAACGTCTTGAAGCTCCAAATGCGAGTCCTCAGACGGAAAAGAATACCGAGTCAGCACCAGCAGCCAAATTCATAGGGACAAGATTATCCGGCTCCACTATACGGGATAGCAGCGGTTTGGGTAGCTGTCCACGCGGTGCTATCAGTGACAGATGAACTTCCGCGGCTTGGCTCTGGTCCCACACCCAAAGGCTGAAACATCCCCAGACCGGAAGGAAATAGGGAATAGATGACTCTCGAGTTCTCTGGGAACAAAATTGAATTACAAAACACGGGGTGTGTAGCTGTTTATGAGCTCCGAGGGTCGCGTGTCATTTCGCTGATTAGGTCGTTCTATATACCCCCCCCCCCCCGCGCCGCCGGCTATGATCCCCGAAATTGAGATTCTGCCACGATGATCGCTGACGAGACGAGCATTATTAGCGCAGAATTGCTTGCTTTCCTTTCCATCGTTTGTATATATGGTGAACATCCCGAAATTTGCAAGACTAGAACGAATCTAACTTGAATTGAGAAACTATAATCAGTAGGTGAGGTATTTCTCCGATAGTATGAGACTGAATAAAGCCGAAAAAAAACCCAGGGCGGTACTTGAAAATTTTGGTGTGGCCTATACTCCATATATATTGTACTGTGTACAGCATGCGCATATGGGCCACTATGACTTGAGGCATATGTACAGTACAGTATCTTGTATTTTTCCTTCCGTAGTGAGGGCACAATAATGCTAATGCAAAATAATTTATTGGCAGATTTTAAAGCACGGTAACTAAAAATTTAATCAGAATTAACTTTTTTAGGATTTTTTTTTGGAATGAATCCAAAACTCAGATTTTTTCCTTACTTGGGTATACTAACACGTCTTGCAGAATAATTTGCACACCAACAATATCTGACTAATTGATGATTTTCTCTTCTTTCTTCTCAATCTTTAAATATGACCTTCAAAAATGCTTGCAGAAATGAAATACGGATTATTCCTTCGAAAGGAATAGAAGCATTTCAAACATTGATTGACTTATTTTCCTGGTTTTCTGAGAATCAATTAATGGGATCTTGATTTCTTTTATCTCAGCCCAATTTCCCAACATTCCCGAATCTGATTCCAAAGGTATTAGAACAAAGGATGCCTCAATAACGTTTGAACACTGATGAATCAGTTGGTAACTTATAACTGTTAATTTTAAAACGACGACCTTCAAAAAACTGGCAGAAATTAAAAATTCTTTCAAAGGAATAGATGCTTGAAACAGATGGGCTTATTTTTTCCTGGTCTTCTAACAAAATCACGCCCCAATGCCTTATGTAGTCTGCATGGAATCTGATGTCAATTACAAAACGAAGAAAGCCTCAAAGTTTGAAACAAATAGGAAGCATTTGGTAACCTAACTGTTGATTTTAATCATGAGGATCATTTCAAGCGTCGATTATAAGAACCTATTGATTTTAGTTTCTCAATTCAAGTTCAATTCTTTCTATTTTACTTCAGGGAAAGATACAAAATCTACAATATATGACTGAACTCGAAATAAAGCACCCAAAAAAATCCATGGGAAACACTTCTTTCGTTTTAAAATGTATAGCTCTTCCATTACATCACCTATAATTAATCTCTAGCATCGGGTTGTGGCCTATCCTCGCATTTGCAAAATAGTCGCAACTCGCATGACTTGAATAGCCCTTGTCATTTAGGTACTGTATTTTCTGAAATTATCAGAAATTGGATTTAACTTGTTCAAGAAGTACCGTCGCCAATGATTATCCGGCAAAGATTTAACGACTTTATCCAACGTTATGAATAATTATTTCCGAATCCTGCTTTTTTACAAGAAAGAAGAACCACTCGACAAAATTCAACAACACGAGTAGAACCAATAAATCTTCAACTCCAAGCAAGCATAATCGATTAGCACACTGAGCCCTCTCCGTCTACCACGACGGGGTAATTGCTGTAATTAAACTGATCACTCGACTTGTGTCTATCTGTATACAGCTAATGCATACCCATTACGTCTATCCAAGGCTTCGTAAATTCAGCTGTTATATAAATAGGTTTATCTGATGGTTTCGTCCCTGTGATTATGCCTTTTCCTTCAGTCATATGCACGAAGTCAGATGCTCATGACATGAAGGAAAAAGGCACATGAAATAAGCGAAAAATAAGTTGTCTGGCCTTCCTACTGATACCTGCAGTCGTCTGCTCTATGGCAGAAGGTTTCTGGTCCTCAGGAATGCGCCGGATGTGGGAAGAAAATCGCAGACAGGTTTGATTTTAAATCGCTATTATAAACTAAAGAAAATTATCGGTCGTTAAACATATGCAGTTTAAACTCGGAAATAAAAATTTGATTTTTTCTGAAAATTAATTCGGCAATGCGTTAATTATTCGGGAGAAAGAAAAAATTCTGTGAAAGGATTATAGGCACTTGAAAAATTCTTTGACTTATTTTCCAGGTTTATTTCTGAGGATCAATTAATGGGATTTATTGATTAAAAAAAAAATCACGACGCAATTGCCGAAAAGCCCGCGGAATCTGATTTCTACTTCTCATATCGCGGAACAAACTGAAATGACAAGTGAAGTTTTCCTTCGAAAATCTTCTTTGAAAAAGTATTTTCGCTGGATCTTTGGAGATTTATGTACTGTGTAAGGTTATACAGTATTATTATACCTGGATATTATCGGGCTCTGTTTTTGTTTTTGTTCATCAGATTTCTGCTCAAAGCACTGGACATGTATTGGCACGAGGATTGCCTGAAATGCGGTTGCTGCGATTGCCGTCTGGGGGAAGTCGGATCCACGCTGTTCACTAAAGCCAACTTGATCCTGTGCAAACGCGACTACTTGAGGTCAGTCCACACAGCTGGGGCTTCATTGCTATTTTCTTGCCGGTGTAGGAGTAACACCCCTCACTTGGAGCTCAGTACTGTATGTGATTTCTCTTGAATTTACAGTAACTTCTAATGCGCGATTATTGCCCTAATGTGCGATTATTGTACTCTATGTCTATGACACCCGTGTCGAAGGATAAAAAGAATTGTTTACCGCCTCTTCAAGTTGTTGCAGAACTAAGAAATGAAATATCATCGCAATTTTCTTGGAAAGATATTGCCTAAAGTAACATACGTATTCCTTTCATTTTGCTGAAATTGTGTCTTAACGCTGAACATTCCAATCATTCAATTTTTCAACAGGTCAGTCCTAATTATTGCTTTAGCTTTTGTCAAGGCTTTGTAGTAAATTCGGGAGGGGGGGGGATGTTCTTGCACAAATCAGTACGATTTTCGACTGTTCGGCTGAATTGCTGTGCTTCAGTCGTTTTCGAGTTGCGTAGTTTTAGTTTTCGTAGTTCTATAACGCTTCGAATAATCCATTAAGATATTATCTAATTAATGTATAGTAACATGCGTGTCATAATATAATTTGAATCGGCCAGAATTCTCACCCTAAACCAAAAGTATCAGGAATGGGACATGATTTAGATGATTTGCAGAAAAAATGCCACCGAATGGCGTGAAATGTGGCAATTCATATTTTGAACGGTCCAGACTAAATTGAGCATTTGACTCTGAAGTTGAACACATTATCTGTACATGAAAAATATTTTTCAACATCATTCCTGTACAACGTTTTTCCAGGAACTCCGCTTCGTTTTTTTTTTTTTTCTAAAGTTTTTTTGAAGTTGTCTGGGAGAAGAAGTGGAAATGCTCACGTTATAGCACACTTCATTGCTACTATATATTTATCTGTCCTCCTTTGATGAGGCGTCGAAGCAAAATACGACGAAAAATCAGCAAAGCCTTCAAAGTCTGCTCGAATAACTTCTCAAAACCCACCGGAAGCATTCTTTCCGATCCAGAGTACATCGCTTTTTCCTCCAGTGGAAAATTCAGGCAATGGCCTCGTCTGTGAAGGCAGGGATTGCCCAGGAAAATCCCTCGCGGCCCACTTCCGGGGTCTCTTCCTCGTAGGCGGTAATTAAGGAATGGCCCGTGGGGCC